CAACATATGTTGCAACTAATTTTAGCTTATGTTGCAACATTTTGTAAATTTGAAATCAATTGCTGTACCATCTTTACGCATGACGGTTGACCTTTTGCAACAACGCCATTAACTAATAAAATTAAATATCAGAATTAGTTAAAATTTTAACAAAAATTATAATTAAATTTCTAAAAAAGTATCGAACATCATCTGATCTTCAGCTTGGATTATAAACATTAATTGTTTGTATTCTCATTTCTTCTGAATCAGTCACCGAATCTTCAGGGGAATAATAACGATTGTCTCCCAAGATCCTCAATAACTCTTCCTTATCATCTTTTGAAACTCTTTCATCGCCTAAATCAAAAAGCGAATTGGCACCTTTAATCCTTCTGGCCTTTTCTATATTAAAATATTGAATGTTAATTGAAGTTCATTTTTCTTAAAAAAATAATAATCAATTTCGATTATATTTACATCACTGGTACGATTGTTTTTGTGTAATCACCTATTATCATGATCTAAAGTACCGCGTTGTTTATATAATAACCAAATTCGTCGATGCCTGTGCAGCGATCCAAGCCAATCTCTGATTTATTTGTATGTTTTTTGAACCTTTTTAAGGCTTTGACGAGATGCGGTATTACTTATCGTAATATTTCAGTATTTTCTTCACTACTGAACTTAAGATCGTATCTCATTTCAAGATGGTTTGGCAATGTTTTTAAAATCATTCTCATTTCAATCTAAATTATAAAAAAAAATAAAGCCGATTTAAGTTAATTTGATTGATGTCGGTTATATTTAATTAAAATTCAGTTAGAATTAAAGTTATTTTAATTAGAATTCAGAAAAGATTTTAAATGAACCCTGACCGCGTTATTATTATAAGACCCCTCTTTATCGCTTTCATCACTACTGTGTCAAGTTCACTTTCCTTGATGATCATCATCTGATTCTTCATCTCTACGTCTTCGTCGGCCTCGTCAAAATTTGTCTTGCAAACTCTTATTTTCACAAATAAGCGCTTCATTATCTCCAGTAACTTTGCTGAATTCTGTCCTTAAATGTCTTAATTCTTCATTTGCATTGTTGAGTTGCCTGCTCAGCTTGTCGATTCTTCCACGTAATCATGCTTTTTCATAGAAAAGTTAACAATAAATTGATTAAAAAATATATATCGGCTAAAATTTTGCAATAAATTACACTTACCTTCACTCAGCGAAGAATCGGTTATTCCAGGTAAAGCTTCTCTCCTTCTTGGTTGATAAGGAGTTACACTTCTTTTAACACGTCTTAATCCACGATCTCGTGTGTATTGATATGGAGTATATCGAAATTCGTCACCTTGAGAAATGTTGAATTGTCGACGATAAGGAGTTATACTCCTTTCGCTATTCCTTTTTTCATGACGTCTTTCGTCACCTATTTGCTAACGTGTTGAAAACCTTTCAGTTATCCTCTGACAGGAAGCTTATGATGCCTGCAGATCCCAGTTATCAGCTTTCAGAATGGCACCTCTAACCATACCAGCAGTTGAGATTTCGTCATGTTGATGTTTGTCTTCAATTCTGTAATTAAGCGAAATATTATAATCTCCACCTGGTCGAATTGGAGATTGAGATCAAGTTTCTTTGGAAATATTTGATGGTACTAATAATTTGAATGGTCTTTCATTTGCTGAATTCTGCTGACGTGAAGATTTTGGTATTTCCAATTGACTTTTATTTGCCAGAACCTGCTGACTTGATGTTTTTTGACTACTTAGATTTAGTGCCGAAACTTGCCGATATGGTATTTCTTGGCTACTAAGAGGCGTTGTTGTCAGAACCTGCTGATATGTTTCTTAGCTACTAAGAGGCGTCGAAGATGTTATCAGAATCTGCCAACGTGTTTCTTAGCTACTAAGAGGCGTCGAAGATGTTGTCAGAACCTGCCGACGTGTTTTTTGACTACTTGAAGGTGTCGAAGTTGTTGTTAGAACTTGCCAACATGGAGTATCTGCCGTTTTTTTACTACTATGAGTTTCTGTTACTCCCTGAGTTTCTTGTTAATGCGTCGCTTCCTGGCAGCATGGTGGTTGATGACGTACTGTTGCAGCCTTTTTTTAACCCATATTTCTAGTCATATTTGCGATGAAATATTATTTGATAAAAGCGAGAAAATGAGAGACGAAATATTATTTGTGAAAAAAATGAGAAAACAATGTATGCAAAGAGAGATGAAATATTGTTTTTAGCGAAAGATAAATGAAAATTTTTTTGTCGAAAGAGATTTGAAATGTTGTTTGTGATAAAATATTGAAGAGTTTGATTAAAAATAGTTTG